TACTGAGCTCACTCTTTACGTACAGAAGTGATTCAATCAAGTGAACGTCTGTGCGTGTGTGTGTGTGTGTTTCATGAATCAGTTACAGCTCAGAGAGTTAAAGCGCTCGTACACACCCACAGTCCTTTCACACAGGGTTTCACTTTTCCTGGTCACATACAAACCATGCAGACTGTTTCATTTAGAGCTGCAACAACTAATAGCTTATAAAATTAATTGGCAAATAATTTAGTAATTGATTAGTCGGTTGCACGGCACCCTCTCCTGAGGTGGGGAGCGTAAACCAGCCAATCCCGTGCCTTGTGTAGGTCACATGACAACGCCGTCTCCTCTCTGGAGTGAACATTTTAAAAAATAGCACAGACGAACACCACTAACAGTACAACAGAGACAAAGCATCAAAAGTGTGGCAACACTTCACATTTAAGTGTTAGAGACTGTTAGCTGCAAACTGGTCAGGTTTTCTCTGAGGCGTTAATGTAAAGTGTTCACAGTTTTCATGTCTTTCACTTCCCCGACTCAAGGGGAGAGAGGGAGCAGTGGTGGTCGAGAGACCGAAAGGCTGAATGAAGAGAAAGCGAGCCGATAGCGAACACAAAGCAGTGAAACAAAGACACTAAACATAATTTAATGATAGTTTGAAAGCGTTTCCATTTTAAAACACATAAACAACCTTGCTCTCTGTCTCAGGCACGTTCAGCAGGACAAGCATTATTTACATTAGTTAAACAAGTGTGATTATCCACAATTCACTTTATAGATGTCAGTGACACCACTTTTCCTAATCGTGCTTTTACTCTTAACTATTAGACATTTATTATTTTCAACATGAAAACAGTCTGACTTAATTCTGTTTTAACTACTCAAAACTTTAATTTTCTTCATCTGTAATTAGTAAGATTCAAACTATTTTTGTTACTTGTGTATGGTTTTTCATTATGATAAATTAATTACTATATTATAATCTTTAATTCCAGTTTCAGATGTTTTCAGTTTAATATTGTCGAGGCATAAAATTCAATTTTAGATACATGAAACTAGAATTAAAATCAAAACAGCATTGTACTAGAAGATGAGGGGGCTTTTCGAATAAACTGCTGGTGAGGGAAAAATGTAGCTTCTGTCTTTAATCAATGAATTGAAACTTTGGAATGTTAATATTCTTCAGTGGAAACTTGACCAATGTTTTTTTATTGTTTTTTTTACATTAAAGCTTCTGCAAAACTGGTTTAACTGCAGCATTCAAGTGAATCATGAGTGAAACTACACATTTTATCAACACTAATCTTTTCTAATTAATAGTTTTACGCATTTTTTCACTGACAATGTTATGTCTTTTTGGATTGGATTTTTTTTGCACTTTAAATTGCCTTTCTACACTTGTTATTCCTGGAAGACTTCAATAGGTAGAGGTGCAAATATATGTCGACTTGAGACAAATCAGGGCGGGCCAGGAATTAGCCACAGGCAGGACGCACCCTCACATGAAGACATGTCAATGCTATCATTGGCAGCAGATCTGTCTGCAGTATATCTGCATTAACGATGAAGTGAACTGATGCACAATGTGTCAGATGAAGTTAAAGCTACTCTATAATGAACTGTTCTTAACAGGTTCTCAGTTGATGTGACAGCCAACCTCATTCAGAGGAAACACACACCTCATATAGATTTAAATATTGAACCATTTTGTAGCACATGGTACATTATATTTCATTACAACATAAATTACCACAGTATTTGCTGCTAATGGTGACCAGACCTTTGATTGTCAATAAGAGTTGCTTGCTTGTTCCGGTCACAGGACCTTAAGCAGACTGACACAAGTAGAAACTATGAATTCCCCTTTACTCTTGTGTCTTTTAGAGATCAACACTTCGATACATGTAAAACAAGTAAAGACCTTGGCAGTTCTATAAATTTGGGTTAAATAATATTCATAATGCAGAGTGAGTTTATGTATATTCAAGCACATTGGCAGTAGGAAAGCATCTTTAAATTCATGTGTGATTTGATGTATGAGAAAGTGTCAGTGACTTGTTAAAGAGTTCCTAACAAATCTTTTGTGGAAACTCCACAAGTCAGCAATGATCGCAGGCCGTGGCCTGTTACATAATAAACATCCATCAACTGCTGGGCATCAAATGTGTCTGATGTCATGTGAGGTGATGATAAGTGCTCTGAAGATATGTTCACTAGCTTCCTTCTGTTGGTGCAAGTTGATGCTCAAACCTGTAGTCTAAAATGTTTTGGGCATCACTCACACATGTTTAGGTTTGGGCTAAAAGATGATGACATAAAACGGAAGAATGGAAGGATCATGTTCGGTTTTGTTTATTCTTAATAATTAATTAATGCTTGAAAACAACAAAATCTGAAAAAAATGAAAACAGGATTCCAGAAGAAACCCCAGCTGATTATGTACAAGAATCATGATCCTTTTTCTAAGCAAGAAAATCTTGATTCTCATTTTTCCAGAATTTGCAGCCTTAGAGTCCAAGCAGAAATTAAAAACCACTTGGAAGTAAACATGTCTTTTTTTCCACAGTCCTGTCTAGATGCTGCCGGTCAGTCTCTTGTGGGCATAAATTTACAAAAATAAACACTAACAGAGCACTTGTCTTTTAGGGCAGAGGGTTATTTTCTTAACTTGATTTATAGGTGTGAGAAAAATAAGAAAGATGAACCTAGGGGAAAATGTTTTTTCCACTTAAAAGAAAACATTTTCATTACCTGTTCACAGATGAAAACTATTAATCTTATTTGCATTAGTCAATTTTCTATAAACCTTTTTCTAAAATCTAAAACATGAATACTTTTTAAATGTAACTTTGCAAAACTCCACTATTATTCCTAACTGTTCACGATCTTGTGATGCTACAGTGAGTGGAAAATTAGACATGCAAAAGTATACAAATTAAAATTTCCCCTCGCTCTGTCCTCCTATTGGCCTCCATCTACTTCTAAATAAAATCTATATTGTAATTTATTAGTACAACTTTTTTCCCCTTTCACAGCTTTTTGTCATCTATCCTTGTTTGGTGGAAAACCTGTGGGACTGTAAAAACACAGGTTTTACATCATTCTCAGTCTCTTTGTACCATCTGTTTCGAATCGTAGCCTCACCCTATTTATTCCCTTTTGCTACATTTTGTCTTTAATGCTTGCATGAAGGCTTGTCACAGGTTTGTGTTATTCCCCTCACCCTGCAATGTGATCAGTTTCAGGCTGAAGCTCGGACACCAGAAACCCAAACATTAACGGTTCCTGAGAGCAGGGCTTTTCAAATGAAGCTATAGGCTTTAACACTGTATACTCTGACTATAGTGAGCATTCAGCCTATGTAATCATGTCTGGAAACACACCTAGTCAGCACATCTGACTGATGAATTTACAGTTGGCTGCAAATGTGCCCTCAACATTACCAGGGTTTCAATCACAGCATGGGCATTTTTTTTTCCTAGAGAGCAGAAATGAAAATATCTGAACTAAACGTTTGAGTTAACTGGGTTCATTTGTTCTGGGGAAGCATTTAAAGCTCAAACGCTCCCAAAAACGGGCTGTTTTGTGGTTCCACTCAGCGTTTAGGCTAACACAGCTCAGCAAAAAACAAGAACTGGTCCACAACAGCGGCTGGCAGAGATGACGGCTTATTCCCAGTTAAACGTCAGGAATGTGTATACCATAATACTACATCCGGGACGCTGATTGCACGATACGCAAGCCACAACCCACAACCGAACAGCTGGTGTTGATCATCATCTTAATGTTGCAGTCATAAGCAGTTTGGAAGTAGACACAGTTGCTGCAGCTTCTATATGTTGTTTCATGGCAGTGTTGGTGTCAATGACAAAGTTAGTGTGGTCCAAAGAAGTGCACATGCCGCTGACATTTCAACATGGTAAACAAGGATGAAGGGTGGAAAGAAGAAGATCTTGAAGAACTCTTAATTTGGATTCTAGCCCTTAGAGGTTGGCTTGGTTATTTGTTTCTGAAACACTTATCTTGTTCGTCAAAAACCTCTTCAAGTCCCAACAGTCTTAAATCCTTAAATCATAGGCCGTACAAAATTTCAAAAAATCAAGTAGGAACAACTTTGACACACAATTCATTCAAATATATTCACCACCACCACCACCGCCCTTACAGTCAGACGAGGTTCAACACGTTACGTTGCTCTGCTCGTCTGTGGTGCTTATTCTGCTGCTGCTGCTAAAACAGGCGAGCCCACAGATGGCAGTGGCGTGGTCCGAAGACGACAAACAGCCTCGCTGTTGATTGTTACTTAGCTATCACGGTGAAAACCCAAATACAATTTCCAAGTTTCCTCCATTTTCTTGACAAAACAACAGTTAGAAGTTATTGAGCGAGCCACGGAAACACTGCGGCTTCTGCCAGTTGTCTGTCAGTGCACATTCATGACCTTTGAGGGCGTAGCTTTGACTAGATGCATTAGTTGCATTATTTACTCAGTGTGGCCTGCTGTTGCAAGCTTTTCCATGATTATCAACCCTGTAGCTTTAATCCAGTGGAATTACCTGATTAAGCTAAGTAACCAAATACAACTTCTGGTAGGATTGAAATGTACCAGAAGATGAAAGAAACAATTTCAAGGACACACACACAGTACTATCAACAATCACTGCGTACAGTAACTGCGGTGAGGATTAGATCAGTTGTACTGCGCCAATTTGGCTCCAAACTACAGAAATGAAAAGAATCTTATATTCTGCTGCAACACGCATAGGAAGGAAGGAAGGAACACACACACACACACACACACACACACACACACACACACACACACACACACACACACACACACACACACACACACTTCCTGTGGGCCATCAAGACCACATAATGTGAGTTACCCCAGCAAGGTGTTCTCTCACTCTTTCTCTCACTCTTCAGCTCATATCTATATTTCAAAAGCCTTCAACAAACACAGATCACATCTATTTTCTCCTTCATTTCATACTTTGGCTCTCACTTCCTACCTGAACACGGTGGTGCAGATCCTTTTCTGAATGGAGGGCTGGGCTGTAATCCATGAAAATCCCAAACATTTGAGGATACTTCCAATTTGCTACAATTGCTTTCACCTGCCAAAGGCCACCATTTAAATCCACAGACAGGAAATGATGTCAGTGTAGCCTTCAGGGAAACTCAGAGAACAGAATGCCTGAGGTGGTCATTTTAAATGAAAAAAACACACACACACAACACAGCACAAACATTACATACACTAATTAACTAAAAGAGATGGATCCTCACAGGAAATCATGTGACACAAACAAATGTCCAATGTGTATTTCTTTTGCCGACATTATATGTATCCGCTGCTAATTTATCTAAAACTATAAAAGGGCTTTCAGTCTCTTCTTCTTTCTTTCCAGAGCACTGAAAATAAATCCTGTTTTCTTTCAGCTTCAGTCAGCTTCTCATTTATTAAGGTTCATATCCATACACTCAGTCAGGATAAAACCACCAGAAAGAACTAGATAACCAACAGAACACTAGACTACGTATTGCTTCTGCCCCACTACTTGATATAACTGAAAATGAAAATGCAATTCTCCAATTTAGAAAAGTCAAAAAATGTAATGTGCAATAATACTGACCGCCTGTTTAAAGCTGCAAATACCAGAGAGAAGTCAAATCAATTCAGCTGCAGTTTGGGGGGAAAGCTGTGAGTTTGTTCTTAATTCTTTACTTACTGAAAGAGAAGTTAGCTTAACCCCCCTGAAGTCTAACTCTAAGGAATAGTCTCACATATGTAGCAAGAACTACAACATCAGAAATATCTTCAGAAATGTTCAGAAACAATTATCATCATCCTAATAAAATGTATTTATGATCGTTTTACAAATGAAGTTAAATATTCTCTCCTATTGTATTTCTGTTACGCTCTCCACCAATTCATGAGAAAAATATATGGGTTTTCATGAAATACAAGGGGCATGATCTTTAGTGTCTCCTGGCTTGATTGGAGTCATTTAAATAATGAAAATACATTTCTGTTGATTTTGTATTTGAACATAAACTGAACAGAACAATGTCTTTTATATAATTTTCTGTAGTGGAACAACCTGCGGGAAAGATGGAAGAAGGCAGGGGGAAACAACAGAACATTTTATCAGGAGTCCTGTCTTGACCAGCTGCCATTTTCAGGCACCTGATCAACTGGTTGCCAAATAAACTTCCCACAAGACGAATCCACCCCAGACTCTCTCCACTCCTCCACAGTGAAAAAGTCTACAAGAGTGAATGGGTACCTGAGATAATTATGAATATATTGTCATTTTAAATGCATTTCCTTGCTGGGTTGTCTAGATACAATTTACTGTGTGGTTGCATTGCCACAATCTAGCAAGCAGAGAAACTTCAGCCTTGCAAGTTTAATATTTTCTTCTGGCCAGGAAATCTCAGTAGGACTTTACGGCTTCATAAAAAGGACAAACAATAAAATAGAAAAGAAAAGACCAATGAGAAATAAAGCAAACAAATCACACAACATGTAAAAATCATTTCATAATCCATCAACAATGCATGTATTTAGGAACTTCTACACCATCTTAAGTAAGGTAAGGGTCACATAAGATGAACATTTTAATGTTTCTTGAATGACAAAATCCAGTATCATATAGTAGTAACACTTCTAATTATGTCCTTGTCCTAACATCCATGTGAACACATTTAAAGTGAACAGTTGTCACTCAGTACTAACTGACACAGAAATACACAAAAGGCCTCATAAACAGCATTGAGGGCCGCATGTCGGTGATGTCACAAGAACTGGATATGGTGTTCCAAGATGGCGCCCAGTCATTCCAATTAGAGCCCTCTTAATTGGGAAATTTTTTGTTTGGGAGTTGCAATATCTGGTAATTTCTCCTCAACACAATTGGATCGATGTAAAAAAAAAAAACAGCTTATGTTGTATAATTTGGAACAAACAGCACTGAGTCTGCAGGGGGTGTCAAAGGCTCAGCACTGAAATAACATGAACAAAAAGTACCATGTAATAAGATTTAGTCCTAACATTAGCAGGGTTAATTAGCTTCCAATGTCTGACTAAAATGCTTGTCAGTTTAGCTTGCTGATTTCTATACACAAACATATCACAAAGGATCTTCCCAAACATTGAATGTTTTCAAGGGACATGAAAATAATTTCACCAACGCTGTCTTGTTAAGAAAGTGGAAAACTTCTAATTGTTCTGTAATGAACTCTGAGAGGCTTGAGTAGTGAGCATAGACTGTGTATAAAGATGGACGACGCTTCACCACCTCTTTCCTGTTGCACTAAAATGAAGCCATAATATCCTGGATATGGACATCGCAGTATCAAGCTCACTGCCAATCATGAGTCGATCTCAGCTGTCAATCAAGACATTTCACCATGTTTTTATAGCATCAAATTAAAATGAAATAACATGCACTTTGACTCCTCCACTAACATGGAGGCGGCAGGGTTTATGACTTATACTGCAGCCAGCCACCAGTTGGCAATCAAGATGATTTTGCCTAACTTTTTGGGGACTGTCATGTCGTCTATCTTTATCTACAGTCTATAATATTGAGTGATAGAGATTTTTGACACTTACTTATCTTTATTATTTTACATCATTACTGTCAGTTATGGAGTCACACAATCTATAAAATGAGCAGCATTGTATTGTGGGATTGTTGGTAGAGAGTAGCTTACATGCCATTTCTTTTAACCTCATGTGTTTTTGCCCTTAAAAAATGAGGGCGCAAGTGTTAGCCAACAAGCAGAAGTTGTCTAAACATTAAATCTATCAGATGTATCTGAGTACTGGAAAGACTGATTCAGTCAGAAACAGATGGTCCTGTTAAAATCTGTGTACCGTCTGTGTTTCTCAACAAACCTCCAATCAGAACTTGCATCACACTCTTAACTTCTCTTATGAGAACTCCTCTGTTTGGGTAGAAGGAATCCAATTTTATTACTTACCTGCATGAAAGTTAGTGTAAAGTCTGGTATTTTATAAGGATGGAATGCTTATGAAGTATTTTTTTCCATGACAATAAAAACATTGATCATTTCTAGCTATTCACAGTTGCAAAGATTTAACAAACTGGAGTCATCAGGTAATTCTACCGACAGCTGTAAACGACCATATGGCTAACAGGTAAAATGCTTCACAATTCATCTAATTCTAAAACTGTAGCTTGGACTGGAATCTAATAGTGGCATACAACAATATGCCACATTGGCATGTGCATCCATCCATCAGTACGTACAGTGAAGTGAGAGACAATGAGCAGCAGATGTATCGTGACTAGCAATCTTAGTAGAGTCTGAAAATGATTCAAAGAGATTCCTGAATTTTATGAAGAAAAATGAACTTGAACACAATGACTGGTGTAAAAAAAAAAAGGAAAAAGAGAAAATGATTAGCTCTTCTATGAGGCTTGTGTGCTCTCGGTATGATGCATCGGAAAGCATGGAAACTGTGGAATGTCGGAGCTGCTACAGATTCAGTTAAAAACAAAATGACATAAAGAGCATAAGCACAAAAAGCAGGCAACTCCTGACAGTCCCCAGCTCTAATAGTAAGCCACAATGTCCATCAATCAGTTTATGTTGAATCTGTGGATCTGTCCATTAGTTCATAGATCTGTCTTTTCTCCAGTCTCTTCCACGTTCCTGTAATATTACATTGTTCAGCCTAATACACTAATTATTGCTTGTCTACGCTATGAAGCTAGTGTTGCTCACTATGTAATTTATTTTTACCAAAAAGTAAAAATGATAACACTATCAGGTGAACAGTCGCTGCAAATAGGAACAACATACACACCCATTCAACCAGTGTGACATTCAACCAAACTTGAGACCAATTAATCAAATGTCATGTTCAGAATAAGGCTGTGACGTCTTTAATCACAGCGCTACAGTGTCGAACACACCTGGACACAAGACACACTGTCAAAGACGTGTACAGACCAAATCGTCCGAGCAACACAGTCCTGAGTTACCCCCCGCAGATGTGTGTCACACCGCTGTGTGTTTCGAATTTTCGTTTTCATTCAACGGCGGAATCTTCCTGCTGAACTGGCTGAAGCTGGCGGCCCTACACCTCGCCCTCGGCCCTCCTCCGTCTCCAGCCGAGGCCTGCGTGGGGCCTGGGGGTAGAGTGCTGTAGCGGCCTGGGATGGAGAGGCCCTGTCCTGGGTGGAGCACGTGGCTGCCTGGCTGCAGCGTGGTGTCCTTGGCGAAGAGGCTCTGGATGAGCTGGAATTTTTCCTTCTCCTCCCTCAAGAAGACGTCCACCAGGAGCTTCTTCTCCCGCTTTAGCTGCTCCACGATGGTTTTTGGGACGTCAGGGATCACCCAGGCGACCACGAGGCTGAGGAACATCACGAGGTTCTGGAGCACAGAGTAAGATAAAGGGATGGATGCAGAGATGATTGTTTACAAAATATCAACCGAAGCACAACTATCAGATATGTTTTGGAGTTGTTCAGATTGTCTTTTGCTTGTTTATTCTACGTGGATTTACGGATATGGATTCACAATGGTGCTATCTGTCGTTCTCAGGCTACATCCATAGTACGTTATTTCAAAATTGCGTTTTGATACAAAAATGATCTAAAACCTATTTGTCTGAGTGACTGAGTTATGTCTCTGAAAAGGAGTACGATTTCACGTTGCCTCACTTCTCTCCCTCCTAGATGCTCGAGATCGCGCCTCGCAGTCTGAAAACCTTGAATGTAGAGACTTGAGAGACATAACGATTCCCTAAATTCAGTTCACATGTTCGAAAAGAAGACATCTCCGACCGCTCTGCTGCTGAAGGACATTTGGTATACACATGTCACTGATGGGTTGAAAGCGGAAAGATTTATTTATCAAAATGGGCTGGTGGGAAATTGACTACGGCATCTGGTCATGTCTGCGACCATAATGAGAATCCCACAAGATCCAGCTAATTAGAACTGACTGGTCCACAACCGCATGCACACACAATTACTTTGAGTTTTTTTTTACAATACAAATCATTTCCATACAACTGAGCTACAGAAAATGGGCAATAGATCAACACATACAAAATCTATAAACACAAAACGGTGTGTTTTTTACTATACTGCAACTTATGTGGTGAAAACTGAAAAAACATAACCATGAATGCACCTGTTAAAGCTCTAACACTATGTGTTATATGCTTATTATTCTGTGTCGGCTGGAAAAAGCATCAGAGCAAACAAAAATCAATGAGATCACATACTTGGAACAATATGACAAAAGCCAGTCGTGCAGCCAGGACACACCAGTAGTGTTTGGAGAACTGGTACGCGTCAGGAGACCAAGGGGGCTCCCTGTAGTCTTTGTACCTAGAACAAAAACACACATGTAAAGATGATGGACGATGGAAAGAAGAGGTAACTCAAATTCCTTTTGTTTTATCGTCTTGTGCTTGATGGGAAATAAATAGAAAAATGTACTGGTTAGAATTGAGCAGGTGGTTAGCATGAGCGGCAAAACAAAGACGGACCACCTACACAACAACAATCCCAGTCGAAGCATAATCTAATGAAGTTACCACCCGCTGTGTTGGACAGGTGATCGCTTCAAGTCTGTCTCAGGCCAAAGATGTCTCCTCCACTTTTATTTCCAACCCTGATTTATCTTTACCAGAGACAAAACCTCATTACTACACATGACTCCTTCCCTCAGCTTGGGACCTGACAAGAAGTGCAATAAACTTTATTAGGACTCCTTTCCTTTGTTTTCTTTGTAGTAAACACTCTTTATTGTGCTGGCAAAACAAACAGGCTGAAAACTCGAACCACATGTGGAGCTGTAAAGGCCGGCGTGCTCTTGATGAAGACGAGAGAGAAGAGGGAGACGAGATAGGAAGGAAAAGGGAAAGAGGCAGAAAAACAACAGGAATAAGTAAAGACAAAGAGAATAATTCATTTAACAAGGCAGGATGAGAACACACACACACACACACACACACACACACACTCTTATCTGTTGGCCATCAGAAATGTGGAGTCCAGTTGCAGTTGAAGCCCGATGGAGTGAAGGCTCTAACTCATGGAATTGAAAACATATTCCTCAGCCAAACTTTGTCTTTTTATTTATAAAATTAAATTCTATTTTTGGTTAAACACTGAAGCAAAGTTTTCCTTATTTGTCACTGACATGCTGCTGTTTTGAAACAGGCCCAATGACTGTTGGGTGTAAAACTTTTTTGTCAATCTGCTGTTACGACAGGGAGTAAAAGATGAACAAACATCTGGTTTCAACAACACTGATAGTTCAGATGAGACTACTTACTATGTGTGGTATAAGTAACATGCCATAAGACTAAAAAGCTCCATGTCTATACCAAATAATTTGGTGTATAGTGTGTGATTGGACTGTACTTCGGCAGAAAGCAAACAATCGGTCAAATGTGTATTTCTGATCAGAGCTGGGGGACAATGCTGCCAAAAATCACATGAGTCATGAGTTTGCAAACATGTGGGCAGATCTCTGTAATGTGTCATAAACTAGACTCTGAAACAACAGACTGCAGTAGTGCAGGTGTCTGCAAAGTTTTAAAAGCTTGTTTTCCAGTGTATGTGCACCAGTTTTCAAATCGCCATTTACACTGTTTTAAAACTGAAAAACAAATGGATGCACTTGGAGAACGGCGACAAATTTAAAACTCTGAGGATGTGTTGAAGAAACACTGTAAAATGTGTGCTGCATGTGTTGAAGGAGGAAGATACAAAATAATATTTGCAAAGAACATTTCTTTGACAATTCGTTTTTCAGACGATCAAAACATTATGAAAAGGCTTAGTTTCAATCACGCAAAATCTTTTAAGTAGATTTCAAGCTTTCAAAGTGTTTTGTAACTTTTGGAATATGGCAGGATATTCATCCCATACTGGAAAACCTATGTTCAGGAGTTCGTGGTACAAAGCCAAGTTGTGACCATGTGGATGCAATCACTCCTACATAACATAAATAGGGTCTCACCCTCTGTTCCACTGTAGGGTTTATTTATAATGTAAGTGTTTGTCATTTTATGGAAACCTGAGTCTGCACCTCAGCAGAACAGCCAGCTGGGCTGAGAGTGTGGGTGCTTAAAAACCTGCAGCACAAAAATACATTTATCAGTGCAAACAGCAACAAATGACTTTCCAGTGTTAAGTGAAATCTTCTGAATATGAACCAGACAGCCAACAATCATCAGCGTTAATCCCGTCATCACACTGGTTTCACAGAGCGAGGTTATGTAACGACAGCCACTGTGGTGACAAGTGGTATTTACATCCTGATTAGACGGAGACATAGAACGACAGAGATTCATCTGTGATGTGTAAATTTTGTCTACATAAATAGTTTGTGGGTTAGAGAGCTTGTTTTGTTTTTGTCATCAATTGTCATTAACATCACATTAACATCACAATTATTACATAAGCATAATTACATGAGCTGACTGCTTTCAAATGGAATGAGATCTTGGCTTGTGAAACATCCTGGTGAAGCACCATATGTGTTTACTGCTTCTTGAACTGCTGTCCTCCTCCAAAGAGGTGACATTTTCACCATTTGTTAGTCTGTAAACAGGATTACACAAAAAAATACTGAAAAAATGTCCACAAAACTTGGTGGACAGGTGAGACACGGGCAAAGAGAGACGTCAATAAATTCAAGGGCGGATTCCAAAAAAAATATTTGATCACTTTCTGTAATGTGAGAGTTTATTGACATTTTCAACAATGGAGTAAATCATTGATCGGTATTGTTCGGTATCTATGTTCTGTATAAAAAGAGTACCGTGACTATTTAGAATTTTTGGCATGGACTTGGTACTAGTATCGGTTCTTATGATAAAATAAGTTCATTCAATCAATCACATTTAATATGTATAGCTCAGCAGAAACTATGAGGTCTGACTATCTGCATGGACGTTAAAATCATTATGGACAGTGGTGGGATTAGCGGGAGCAGGCACGTGGCAAATAGCACTGCACATACCAAGTTAGAGATCTCTAATGTTATTACAAATATGTGTTAGTATATTTTGCTTCATTATGAAGCTGTGGCAGGATACATTTGAATATAGATGGCCACCACAGTCTAAATAATCAATGGGAAACACTTGCTGTTATACTTGGTTATATCATGGTGGTATGCAGTCGACCAACTCTCTATAAAATGTTACAGGAACAGGCTTCCATATTTATCTAAGAGGGGAGTTTACAGTGGAGGGACAGGGGAGGGAGTCGGCTGTAGTGGGGTCTGCAGACCCTCTTGGCTTTATGTTACTACATATAGTATTCCTTTCAAGGCTGAGACAGAAGACAGTCCCCCTCTTTGTTAATCTTAACATCTTTAGGAACAAATCCATCCTCTCAAATCACTGAATGCACAGAGGAGATAAAAGACATTTAAGTGATTTACTGTGGAGTCATAGCTGCAGACAGAGCCAGTCAGCTTCAGGACATTAAGACAGAGTCACAGTCAAATAAAGACATAAGTCACTAATCACTCATTTAACCACACAGCTTAAAGAAAGAAAATCGAGGACATCAAGATGAAAACGTGTCAAATGTAGTTGAAGATTAAATTGAATGATTGCACATGTTTCCTGCAGAATAATGTCCCTGAAGCTCATGATATACCAATGAATAAATGAAAAAAAACTGCAAAACTACGTGGTTTATTTTAGAGAAGAACCAAGATCAGGCTCCAGATCCCCAAAAATGTATTTATCACTTTCTTTAACAATGCATTTGTTTGACATTCTCATTGATTTCCCAGCCAATAATTCAGAAAATTCGAAGAAAAAAAATCAGGCATATTTATGGGACTGAAATTGTTTTTAATTTTGTATATTTGTGTGCAGCTTGATTGAATTTAAGGGGACTGTTGGGCCTCAGCAGAGGAATGTATGCCCTGCTGATTATTTGTAACTGTAACTGTCAAAATGTAACAAAGGAGTCAAATCAAATCTCTCCCTCTCCCTCCCTCCCTCTCCCTCCCTCTCCCCACATTTCCTGTCCCTCTCTGCACTCTCTGTGTGAATGAAGGCTTGAACACAGCTAAATTGTCAGGCTATAAAACTTTAACATCAGGCTGTAACTTTATATGTTTTGCTTGTAAACTTTATTCTCCTCTGGTGAGTCTGATTTTCACGTCTCGACGAGAACCTCCGAGCTCGACCCAAGAGCAGCATGGTGTGTTTGTCTCTGTACGACAGCCCTGTGAAAGACCGATAACCTGTCTTGAGCGTACCCTGATTCTTGCCCTTATGTCCACTAGGACTGACCCGGCCCAAGTGGCGACCCACCGTGACGTCACCCATTGGTTCTGCTCCATAGATTGTACATAAAGTCCTGCTCACATTGCTGAACTGCTGCTACCTTACAAGCCAGAGTGCAGCCTCAGATCCCGGCTTAAGACTAACGGTGACCGGGTTTTTGCAGTCAGGGCCCCTCAGCTGTGGAACTTCCGGCCTGAGGATTTGAGGCTTGCAGATTCAGTGATATCTTTTAAATCCCTTCTCAAGATGCATGTTTTTAGGAAAGCTTTTAATTAAATCTGGTTTACAATAGTTTTTGTAATATGTCCTATCAGTTTCATTTGACCATAAATATTGGTGGGGGTCTTATTTGATTTGAATTTTGTATTTGGTTTTATTTGCCTCTGTCTTTCATATTTAATATTGTTTTCACTTTGTCAAGTTTTAACTTTTGTAAGTGCCATTGTAATAAAGTGCATCATTATTACTGATTTATGAATTGCTGCTTACAATCCTCGAGTTTGGGATTTTGTTAAGTGCCATCTTGATTTTTTAAAATCAGAAGTAACCATATTTGGAGCAGCAGGGGGTGGAGCCTGACTGAGGGCTTGAGCATACTGCACGCCCACCTACCACCATTGGAAGGTACTAGCTGTCAATCACACTGTATCCACACCTCAAACGTGGTGCTTCATTATCAATTTGACTTTAAATGGAACCATGATTTACAAAATGAACATCATGCTGCGATAAAGAAGACCTGCAACTAAGGACTATGACCACAAACATCACGATAATAACTTAAGTA